ACTTAACAGATCAACTATTGAGCCTTNCCCCCCCCCCCCAGATAACTGGAGAGAAAATGGGAACACAGTGAGACAGTAGATCACCTATTCATAGACTTCAGTTAGGAGGGAAATATTTTACAATATTGTCATACAATTTGGGGTACCAATGAAACTAGTTAGGCTGATTAAAATGTGTTTAAATGATATCTATAGTAAGTCTGTATAGGTAAACATTTATCTGATAGGTTTCCTATCGAAAATGGTCTAAAATAAGGAGATGCTTTATACCATTGCTTTTTAACTTTGCTTCAGAATATGTCATTAGGAAGTTTCAGGATAACCAGGTGGAGCTGAAATGAAATGAGACGCATGAGCAGCTGGTCTTATCTGATGACTTAAGTCTGTTGGGAGATAGCGTAGAAACTATAAAGAGAAAACTAAACATATGTTGCTGGCTCATCACCAGAATTCAGGGAAAAATCATAACATAAAGGTAGCAAATAGATCCTTTAAAAATGTGGCACAGTTCAGATATTTTGGAATACTAGTAACAAATGAAATTTTGATTCAGGAGGAATTTAAGAAGGGAAGGAATCTGGGTAATACACAGAGATATTGGGTTTTCAGACTTTATCCATCGTCATGGTTTTTAAGATAACTAAGAAAAACAGGACGTTTCGGAAACTGGATCTATTCCATCCTCACGTGAGGTAAAACACCTATTCTGTTGGGTCCCTTAGAAAGAGCTAGCCTCAATCACTGGACAACAGAAGTCACAAAACACAAGGGGTATAAACACCTGAGACCAGGCTAAGTCAGTGAGAGCTAATAAGAAAAATATACATAAATTGTTCCAAACACGTACAAGCGTGGGACCAGGATAGATAGAGCCGTAGAAATTTATGTCACGAAACCAAACTAATAACCAGGTCCATGACCCTAAGGCATGGAATAGAAAGGAGAACTAGTAAAAAACTAAAAGTGTCTAACTAGCGTCAACAAAGGAGTAAATCACGTCTATCTAATTTAGAACCTAATAGAAATAAATAAAAACATGTCAATTTGTTATGTATATTTTTCTTATTAGCTCTCATTGACTTAGCCTGGTCTCAGGTGTTTATACCCCTTGTGTTTTGTGACCTCGGTTGTCCAGTGATTGAGGCTAGCTCTTTCTGAGGGACCCAACAGAATAGGTGTTTTACCTCACCTGAGGACGGAAACAGATCCAGTTTCCAAAACGTCGTGTTTTTCTTAGTTATCTTAAAAACCAGGATGATGGATAAAGTCCGAAAACCCAATATCTCTGTGTGTTACACACCATCGTCAGAATCCTATAGTAACTAATCTGGGTAATGTTTGCTACCATTCAGTAGAGAACCCTTTGTCTTTGTGCCTGCTGTCTCAAAATGTAAAAATTAGAATACACAAAGTGTAATTTTGCCTGTGGTTTTGTATGGGTGTGAAACTTGGCCTCTGACATTAAAGGAGGAACACAGACTGAGGGCATTCGACAACAGGGTGCTGAGTAGAATATTTGGACCGAACAGGGATGAAATGACTGAAAATTGAAGAAAACTATCTAATAACTATAAAACTATAAACTCTTTGCCAAGTATAATTAGGATGATCAAGTCAGGGAGAATGAGATGGGCAGGGACTGTAGCACACATGGGGCAAAGAGGAATTCATAGAGGATTTTTGTGGGAAAGGAGAGGAAAAGAGACCACTAGGAAGACCTAGATGTAAGTGGAAGGATAATATTAAGTTGAATCACATAGATAGGATGGGGTTGTATTGACTGGACTGATTTAGCTCAGGACGGACCGGTGGAAGGCTCTTGTGAACATGGTAATAAGCTGAGCATCCTCCTTCAAACACAGGGATTCCTTCTTTTAACTATGCTATCCCACTTCTCTGATTTTTTGCACACACATCAGACACAGATGTCTGTGACATAAATGAAGCAGGTCTTATACTGGACTGATATGGAGAAAATTCATTTAGCAACTTTCAGTATGGCCCTGAAGTACCAGATTTTATCAAAATCCACTGAGCAGTTTCACAGACAAAACTTGTGGCCTCACAACCTCCACATTGGGTATTAATTTTATTAACTTAATGCAAGAAATCTACAGTATGCACCAAAAATTCAGTACTGAAATTTGCACATCTTGAATGTGCATGTGCATTTGTCAACGGGGAATATCTCCAGCTGCATGTGTTCCCAGAAGTGAAAAGGAAGTTGTGTTGTGCAGTTGTTGGAAATGGGTCTCTTGACGGAGGAAAAAGTATTCATAGTATTATTTCTGCTCATACAGAAGAGAGATTTAATAAGACTGCACCAACTAACACAGTTATGCTCTCTGTTGTTATGAAATTTCGCCATTATGGTACTGTACTGTGTCAACAGAAGGGGAAGTCTGGTCAACCAGTAACTTTTTTGACAAAAGAGAATCACACGTGTTCTTCAGCAGATGCTGCATTCGCCCCGACGACGTCTACGAAGCACGGCCTTGAAACTGAACGTCAGCGATGCATCTGTTTGCTGATTGTTTAAGGACGTAGGTGATTTCTGTACTGGATACAGGTTGGACAATGCTTGACAGAGTCAGATATGTGAGCCAGGATGGTGTATTGTGGAACATTTTTGGTCATGGTGTATGAGGATCCAGATTTCTTGAGGAATGTGTGGTTCTCCGACAAAAGTCACATTCACTTGGATGGCTACAGCAATCACCAGACAACTCAGTTCCTTGGTTTTGAGCAGCCAGATGTTATCATGCAGAAACCGCTACATAGTACACGTGTGACGATTTGGTGTGCCGTCTCAGCACACGGTATATTAGGCCCATATTTCATTGAGGAAGAGGAAGGCAGTGCTCTTACCGTCACCCAAGAACGCTACAGGGACATGGTGATCGGACCACTTCTTCAGGATTTGAGAATGTTCTGTTCTGCAATGGGCCTTCACATGAATAGACATTGGTATCAACAGGACAGGGCGACCAGCCATACCGCTTGAGAATCTCTAGCCATGCTGCAGGAAAACTTTCCAGGACGAATCATTTCATGTGGTACTGACTTCCCATACCTGTCCCATTCCCCCGATCTTACACCACCTGATGCCTACTTGTGGGGAATGTTAAAGGAGAGTGTGTTCAACTGTGAAGATCTGCCAAGAACTGTGCTTGCATTACGCGAGCAAATCATCTCCCTTTGCAGGAGTCTGCAGCAACCTTTGTTCCAGGATATGATTGAGAATCTGCGTGAACGATATGAACACTGTCTACAGCGAGGCGGTGCACACTTCGAAAACCTACATTACGCATACCGTGGTAAATCAACACGCTAATATTGTGTATGTTAGTTTCTTTCAGGAGAAATAAAGTCACAGATGACAACAAGGTAATATTGTTTGTCTTTTAATTTCAGTACTGTATTCTTGGAGCATACTGTATAAACAGCAGCTATCTGATGACAAGTCTTCTATGCACTGAAATATCAGCTACTGAAGGTAGAAAACTGTGCCCATGAGATGAAGCCAAAAGCACTCTTCATCGTTGCTGTTTCAGATTTGTATCTGTACAGTGAAAGTTTACAAGTGCAGTAAGGCATTGTTAAGTTCCCCTGGTTCTGTAATTCTTGTCATATGTAAAAAAATGGAACCAGCCTGTGATGCAGTAACATATAAAGCTGGGTCCAGACTTGTTGCATATCCCCGTATTGTATCTCCATTGCGTATCATCTGATCTGGGTCCAGACTTGTTGCGTATCTCCATTGCATATCAGCCAATGCAATGCGACAAAATTTCTCCTCCCAAGAAGGCAACGAAGAAATGACAAGCTGAATCTCAGTTTCGAGCCAGATTTCAGTCAGCAATGACTACACCTAACCTGACGGTAGCAGCGGCCGCGTACGTCTATCTTCACTGTGCTATAAAGGAAAGAAGAAAGAAATCATGACATTTGTGGATATCACCGATCTATGCCAGTAGGAAAGTATACAATGGGTCCCATTGTTTGGCAGACTTAAATTTTCAGTCAGTCAGTGGGATGTAAAAAAATTTCACAAGGATGCATCCGTCAGATTTTGAGTTGTCAATAAATTTGATCGGGCCAAAATTTTTTAAAAAATATATCGTGTTCAGAAAAGCAATTCCTGCTTATGAACGATTTGCTGTAACACTGCGATTTTTGGCAACTGGAGACTCGTACGTCAGTCTTCAATACCTCTTCAAAATATCGAAGCAAACAATCAGCACCATTGTCCCTGAAGTTTGTGGCGTTCTTGTGGAAGCACTCAATTGATCTGCTGATAAATGATCCTTTCCTATCTCCTCCCATGAGTCCTGCTTTTTTATTTTATTGAAATGTTCTGTGTTTTGGGGGTTCCAAATCATGTCCCTCTTCTTATATTCATCGATTAAATGTATAATGCATTCCTTACTCTACTCCATTCAGAGTATAAACACAGAATCAATAATAGAAGAATGCACACTGGTGATGACTATACATTCCAGCTTTCCTTTGTGCGGAGCCAAGAAGCAAAGCTTAGATTCTTAATGTGTAATCAAGGCTTAGAAATAAGCAAAATGGAGGAATTACCTATAGAATATATCATAGAATCAATATAAAACTCAGCTGTAATTTGCAGACTGTGAGGTCTGAAAAAGAAAGACTTAGGATGAATGGATAAAAGAATTTAGGTTAGATTCATTTAATGATTTATTTGATGATTCTGTTTGTACCTCAAACTGTGTAGCATCAAATGGTAAGAAGATAATGGACTTGAAAGACTGTGCAAGGAAGTAGTTGTGGCATACTACCCAGTACTGATGGGACTGAGGAAAAACATGAAAATATATCATGACAGTCTTTGAGCCAAAGTTTGAATTACAGGTCTCCAAATATGAAGCAGGAGTACTACAATTTGACAGTGACATTCATTAATTCCAGTTAGAGGCATGAAACCTTTTGTCACTTTATTTTCTGTCTTAAATCATTCGTCTTTTTTTCAGGTAGCACAGCAGTCAGGAGGAGGAACACCTGTATACTTAACCCAAACAACAAATGCAGGGAATGAAACAGAATAACATTCAGCAGCTCATCAGAATCATGAGGAAGCACTCAGCAAAATGCAACTAACAGGATTTCAAATCCTCTGATCCATAAGATTTGATGTTTTGTGGATGAAGATTCATATTGTAGTGCTCCAGGTTATAACACAGCATTACAGTCTGGTAGCTTAGTACTAATGTTTCTAAGGAGCACACTGCCTGCATGTTTATTTAAACCCTCAAAATGGAGACAGTGTGTCCCACTGAAATATTGGTACCCATTTACCAAACTACAATATTCTTCAATGAATGCATCCTATTGTGTGTTTATCACTACATATATATATATACACACACACACACATACACATATACAGGGTGTTCCTAAAAGAATGGTGGGATTTCATTGCCGTCAGTTTTTGCTGACGAAAACCAAAATGTATACGGATTCATAACATGGCTCTCAAATTTTCATTTTGTATATCACACTCTTTCCTAGTTCCATTTCTGACAGTTAGGCAAACGATGGATTGGACATGCTGCAAGTGAAGATGCCCCCTTTCTCCAGTGGCCACCCCGGTCCCCGGGCATAACTCCATGTGATTTCTTCTTGTGGGGTTATGTGAAAGACATGGTTTATGTACCCCATTGCCCCAATCACTCTAGGATCTCTGAAACAATCTGTTGTGCTGTGGAGACCATCACACCTGAAATGCTGCAGCGGGTGTGGCAGGAATTGGACTATCGCATTGATGTGTGCCGGGTAACGAAAGGTGTGCACACTGAGGCACTTTGATGGATGCACATAAAATTGGACAGTTAAGCTTCTGATTGACGCATGTTATGATTGTACACGGCAAGAAATACGAAATATATATGTATCTGAAACTCCACCATTCTTTTAGGAACATCCAGTATATGTGTGTTTTGGTATACCTGTCAAACACAACAATCAATAAAATAACCCACTTTCACTTTATTGCTTCAACTGAGATTTATAATGTCACAACATGTTTTGGCTCTCATGGAGCCATCATCAGGTGATACAGTCTAAAAATCTTAAACTACTGAGTTGTGGTTCTTATATCGAGCCATGTATTACAAGTATCTAATGTGTTTATAAAATAAAACATTCTGTAAAGCCCTCATGCACAGATTTATATTTACACTTCTATATTTTGAGCTTACTTGCATTTAAAATGTGTTTAAAATATATTTAGAACATATATTTAAAATACCTTATATTACACTTAAGGAAGGGGTTGTTCCCTAAATTAGTTAAAGAAAACTACATTTAAGAAATATACAGGGTGTCCCAGGGGGAATGTGCCAAACTTCGGGAGGGTGTTCCTTATGTTAAGGTATGCCGATGTAACCCAAAAACACCTATGTCCAAAGTTGAACGGTTACAGAGATAGTGGCCCGAGAGAACTGTGGTCTTCTGGCGGGTCCACACACTGTACCTGTCAGCTGAGACATCTTATCTGTGTTTGTCCTTGAGCGTGGTGATTCACACTAGCTGCAAGCTTATGTGCTACCTTCAGGGCACGTTGCGGCCTCGTGAATGGTTGGTAAATTAGTTGTGCGGAGTTGCTGAAATGCCTTTTGTGTTTTCACACGTGGAATATTGTGATATGCATTTTGTGTATGGATTTTGAGGTGGCAATGCACGTGCTGCTGTTGAAGAATACCAAAGGCATTTTCCCGATCGAAGGATTACATGTCGAAGTGTATTTACGCGAATTCACCAGACATTGCGTGATACTGGTTCTCTTCCCAGTATTTCTGTGCACTCTGAAAGGGAGGATGTACGAATGAGAAACATATGAGAGAACATTCTTGAGATGGTTCAGAGAAGTCCACGTCTGCCCACTCATAGAATTGCCTCTCACATCGGCGTATCACGTATGCAGGTGTGGCGAACTTTACATGATGAAGAGTTGTATCTTTATCATGATCAAAGGGTACAACATGTGGAATCAGGCGACCATGCTCAGTGTATGGATTTGTGCCACTGGATAAAAGCTCATCCCGAACTGTTAAGTGTCATTTTATTCAGTGAGGAAGCGTTTTTTACCCGGGACGGTGTAAATAATTTACGAAATGTGCATATGTGGTCCCATAATAATCCACATGAGATAATGGTAACGAAATTCCAAAAGAGATTTTCTGTGATGGTATGTTTAGTACAGTTATGTAGTCGGCTTATACCAGAATGCGCAGTCAGCCATGTTACGTCAGCGCTTGCCATTCATGTGTCATATATAGTCCTTGGAACCCTAAGGACAACTATGACATGGCGTGCGAGTATTTTTGTAGTCCAATTTAATGGCTTCATGTCACCCACAAGTTAGTTTGATGTTATGTACATTATTAACATTACAGAAACAACATATTCCTGCCAGTTTTGATATGTATTTGTTAATCAACAAGTGTGTAACACCTGTCAAAGTTTCACACTTCTCTGGCCATTATCTCCGAAACCGTTCAACATTGGTGTTTTGGGTTATATTGGCATACTTTAACATAAGGAACACCCTCCCAAAGTTTGGCACATTCCTCCTGGGACACCCTGTCTAGTATTATGCCGCCTGTGTTATGTTGGACTTTGGTTGTCATTGTGGTTTGTGTTACAGCAAGTAGAAATGCTGCTGTCCTGATTCTAAGATTTATTTGTATATATATATATATATATCCCTCTCTAAGTTACTTGAATTGTTTTCTGCAAAATGTTGATGTTGTACATGGTGTTGTCAGTGTACCATACTCCCAAGCTTGTTTTACGCTGTCGGTGCAGCTACAGTGTTTTGTATTTTGTCATCTTATTTTTATCCTGTGGGGCACATGGTAGTGTAGTTGGTTGAGGCACTATGCTACAAGCTGGAAGGTTGTGGGTTCCATTCCCAATGAGGTGCACCATCTCCTTCCTGATATCTAGCACTTATTACATCCAAGACAGGAGCGGCGCAACGTCAGGGGCTCTCATGTTATGTTCACAATGCTCCCTAGATATAGTAGGGACTCCAAGCCACAGCAGGGAGACACTTCCAATCAACAAGACTAATTCACAATAATAAACTAATTTAATAAGAGAAACACAATAAAACAGAATACAACAATTAGAACTTAATAGAAGCCGTGGGCCCAAACACATACAACCTTGACCACATCTGTCAGTTACTTTACTCTTGCCTTAACTGCGGCATCAGACTACACTTAATAGCCCATGCTCACTGCTTATTGCTCTTGTTTACCATTATGCTACTTCAGCAGGCACAAAATAAACGTTAACAAATATTCCTTGCCCACAGGCGATTCCTAAAAAAAAAAAAACACAATAACGTAATGTTAACGTAAACCCATCGCTGCCACACAATAACCTATAATGTAAGTACAACCCCCGATGTGCGTTGCCAGTACAATCACCCACACATAATTTAGAATACCTTCCAAAACAGAATTTGAAAGTAGCCCAGGCTGGCCGCGTACATCCGATACGCTGTGGATCCAAGCAGCGAATGAATCTTGATTCATTAACCGGCTTCTTCCGAGCCATTTGGGGAGGGGACAGGGAGAGGAAGCGGAATCCACGTGATACACTCCAGCACAGGATGAAGGGGCAGGCTGGAAGGCATGACGTCATTCAAGAGCCTTCAACATGGCTCAGTATCCCCCCCCTCGATCCCTCTGTCTCTGCTCATCCAGAAAAGCATTAATGCTGCTTTTTGCCCCACACTGTTCGTTTCAGGATCCCCATTTCAGGTGGGCTCTTCAACCGACCCCGCCTCACACTGGGCGCTATTGTTTAGGTCCAGAATCATCTGTGAGTAGCGCGGTGATCACTTGCACCCCACACCAGTTTGTCACCCTACGATCTTCTTGGCCTAAGCACCTGCCTTCTGGATCGGGGGGGGGGATCCTCCATCATGCTCGACCACCCTACCCAGCCAAAGGAATTGGTGTTGAGGAGATAAATTACATCCCTCCTCGGAAGAAAACATAATATAAATTCATATTTACAATCACATGTCTTGCCTGTGTGGTTTACCTTCTAACTTCACACAGAATTAGGATATCGCCAGAAACCAACTATGATACCTCCAAATGCGTGCCTTCTCGTGGGAAATGTCTTCAATTGTGAGACATGAGCCTTACGAAGTATGACTCCCGTGTTGGGATTAGCCAACAAAACTGTTACTGGGGACACAAATCTTGCAATTTTCCAGGGGACGGACCATCTCAGGTCCAATTTAGCAGAACGCTGTCTTGATCTAGAGCTGAACAGGTGTAGCCTAAGCAGGACCAAATCACCCACTCAAAAATCTACCTGCCTCCGGACCAAATTGTATCTTTCAGCCACATGAGCTCGAGCCTTCTGCAAATTATTCAGGGCTACCTCCCAGAATTCACGGATATCCTTAACTCCCCCTTCTATATCTAGCTCGGTAAATTTCCATTTTAAGCTTAGGGGATGGTTCAACTCCCTACCTAAAAACAGCGAAGCAGGAGTCGCTGGAGTCGACTCATGCCAGGCCGTATTAAAGGCCACAGCCAAGGATGGCAAATGGTTGTCCCAATAAGTGTGCTGGGAATGATGGTAAATTGATAAAGCCACCTTCAGGTTCTGATTAAAGCGCTGGACCTGGGAAGCTTGGGGGTAATATGGTGAGGTGGTAATGTGCTTAATTACCCAGGAGAAGCACAAATCGTAAAAGATCTTAGACCTGAAGACTGTGGCATTATCAGACACAATCTCTTGAGGGACCCCAAAAAATGGAAAGAACCTTTCTACTAAACAGGTTCTAATTACCTCTGCCGAAATTTGGCGGACCGGGTAAAGACTCACGAATTTGGAAAATCCGTCCAAAATGACTCCGAATGATTGGTCCAAAGAAGTCCATGAAGACTCGCTCCATTGGGCTAGTCACCACCTTACTACTATGGAGACCGACCCGCGTGTGTGGAGCCGGCTTCCCTCGCTGGCAATCCTGGCACCTCCGTACAAAGGCAGCCACCTTGCTCCTCATCTTGGGCCAATAGAACACTTTTGCGATGCGGTTGAGCATCTTAGTTACCCCCAAATGGGCGCTCAAATGAGACTGATGAAAATACTCATACAGGATCGGCCGTAATAGCTCTGGAAGGAGGTAACGCTTAACCCTCGCTCTGGACAGTTGGTACACTAAGGTGCCATTGACTAACCTAAATTGTCCTGCCGCTGGATCCTGCTGAATTACCTTCTGATAAATATCCCTACACAGGGGGTCCTTCTTTTGGTATTCGGCGATCGAGTTAAAGGCCTCGGGAAGCTGGCCCAACATCAGGCCTGAAAATGTGGCTTCGTCACAGGGTTGTTCGTGCTGTCTTGTCAGGCAATCTGCCACCACGTTCTTCTGGCCACTTATATGGATAGTGCAAAATTTGAATGGCGCTAAGCGGAGGATCCATCGCCCAATCCTACCCAACTCCTTTACATGGCGTAACAGCCAAGCCAATGCTTGATTGTCAGTGAAAAGTTCAAACTCCTTATGTTCTAAATAGGTTCTGTACTTCTCACAGCCATAGACCACGGCCAAACATTCCTTTTCATAAATAGCGTATCTTCATTCCACTGGTGACAACAAACGGCTCGCCTAAGCGATCGGCGCCCATTGCTCTCCGTTCTTTTGTTGGAGAACCGCCGAGATGGCAACGTCACTAGCATCACACATAAGGTAGAAGCGAGAGGAAAAATCCGGAATCTGCAAGACTGGAGGTGTCATCAGCGCCTCTTTCAGCCGTAAGAACGCCGATTGCTGGGACTGACCCCACTCAAAACACGCGTTCTTACACTTCAAGGCATGCAGGGGTTCGGCTAGATGAGAAAATTCCGTATAAACCTGACGTAAAAACCGGCCATTC